TCCTTCACCCTTAAAAGCCAGGAGAAGTTCAACCCTCAGTGGTACCAGGGACAGCCTGTAAGTACTGACACGCTGCTGAGGACGCCCATCAGCCTGTCCCCCTGTTACTTAACACCACTTGGATGCACAGCGATGTCGAAAGAGTACAGAGGGTGCCTCTAAGTCAGCCAAGAAGCATTACTCAGCACGATTAGGAATTCCCATGCTCGAGCTGCAGAATGACAAATGAAACAAAAGTGCAACAGACGTGATTGAATTTACAGGGAATTTTCTCTAGGGAAAAAAAAAAACTATCTCGAAATAACTAATAAAGAAACCAGATTTTTCTTCTGTTTTTAATGTGAAGCGGGCTTGCGGTTAACCTCTCTGAGGAAACCAATTAGTTTTAGTGATAAACAGAATTAAAGGTTTACACTCTGCCCAGACTACCATCAAATCTAAAGATGTGATTTTTAAAAGAAACCCTCTTGGTTCAATCGTACAGCTGTGGCACATCTGCCGAGAGTGCCATCGAAAGGAAGTGGCAGGGGAAAGGTTGGGTGTGCTGGTCTGGAGAACAGAAGAATAGCAAGGGAACAGATGCAACTATTGAGTAATGTGGGGAGGATCAATTTTTTTATTTAATTTTACTTTTTCTGGGAAAGAACACACAAGTGTAGACTTTATGGGCCACTGAGAAGAAGGTGGTGTACAAATCAGGCAGGAAAACATACAGAAAGCAAACAGAAACCTTCAAATTGTGAGATTGGCAGTAAAATCAGAAGAGTTGACCAAACTCTTGCTCCCATACTTCAAAATATGTGAGGCATAGGTCCTGGGAACATTCCCACCCCTCCTTGCATCACTCTTCTTGAGACATTTCCGCTACTTGGTGTTCAGCCATGGTTCTCAAACCAGTGTCCTCAAACTAGGACACTACCACTGAGCTAATGCTCCATCCACGGGAGCTGATGGTTCCTACTTCTGGTGTAGCAGCAGAAGGGATGTGAGTGTTTGCCACGAGGAACTGAGCTGCAACGGAGCTGGTGAGGGGTCTGGAGCACAAGTCTGGTGAGGAGAGGCTGAGGGAGCTGGGGGTGTTCAGCCTGGAGAAAAGGAGGCTGAGGGGAGACCTTCTGGCTCTCTCCAACTCCCTGAAAGGAGGGTGTAGCCAGGGGGGGTCGGTCTCTTCTCCCAAGGAACAGGCCATGGGACAAGAGGAAATGGCTTCAAGTTGCACCAGGGGGGGGTTAGGATGGATATTAGGAACAATTTTGACACTGAAAGGGTTATGAAGCCTTGGAAGAGGCTGCCCAGGGAAGTGGTGGAATCACCATCCCTGGAGGTATTTAAAATCCGGGTTGACACAGTGCTTAGAGACATGGGTTAGTGATGGTTTTTATCAGAGTTAGGTTGATGGTTGGACTCGATGATCTGAAAGGTCCCTTCCAACCCAGACAATTCTGTGATTCTAAGGTGTATCTGGTGGTGTATCTCGAGGTGTTATCTATCTAATGATGGTAGTTGTTCTTCTCCCGCAGATCTGGCTAACGGCTATGTACCAGGGTCTAAAAGCGGGCACCTTCTTTTGGCCTGGGTCAGACGTAGCAGTGAATGGAACCTTCCCAAACCTGTATGAAAAATACAACAGGTGTGTAAACTCCTGGGTCTTGGATTGATATATTGCTTTAACTGTTGCAGCAGGACAGACACCAGAGAAAGCATCAGTGGTTTTCTCCTGCTTTTCTAAACAGTTGTACACAACATGGAAAAAAGATAGGATCTGATTAACTCTGTTTCAGAACAATGTAGATTCTTTGTTTAATTGTTTTGTTGTTCCTCAGCAAATGTTTAACAGCAAAGATGTGGAAAAATCAGCTTAAAGGACAGCCAGCTTTGAAGCTTTAGTGCTCTTCTGTTCCTACTTATAAAAGTCTTCAGAGGTTGTGTTTAGAGTCACTCAATCCAAACCTCTCATACAGTGAATGGATCAGGTCTTGATGTGGCCATGAAAACTCAAGTTTTACTGTTGACTGTGGTAAATTGTTCCAATGTAAAATTATTTTCATTGCAAATTTTGAAAAAATATCCTATTAAGGCAGCCACGGTTTAGTCAGCAATTGCTCCTCACTGCAATTAAACGTTTTCTGTCTAATGAAAATTCTACATAAATCTGTTTATCACCATTTACTTAACCTCAAGTGTTGCCCTAGAAATCAGGCTTCTCATTTTTGTTTTCCTAGGGTTGTTTTTCTCATGCTATGCCTTTCATATAGCCTGGGAACTCTGATTCTGGATTTGCTGCCTCCATTTTTTTCTCTAGGGACTTGTACATTATTACTTGAGCTTGACTTAAGTAGCTCAATTCCTAACTTTATGGGTGCCTCATGTTGTTACAGGTCAACGTACTTACTGTTTGTCCACCCCCCAACTGAAACTTTTTCAAAACATAATACAGGAATAAAAACCTGCACGTGATTTTGCTCCTTGAAGGCAGTTATTCTCTTTGTATAATAAACACAAGGAAATACTGGGAGCTTTATTCTAATTGCATTGCAATCAGTGGTCATTAACTCCTGTAGAGTCACAGGCAATTAGCGTAGAGAAACTTGCATCCGGTTGACTTCAATTTTCTCTGCTAAAATACATTGATTTTTGTAATAAGTGGCTAAACTTTTTTAGCTCTTGGTCCTAACTTTATGGGTGCCTCATGTTGTTACAGGTCAACGTACTTACTGTTTGTCCACCCCCCAACTGAAACTTTTTCAAAACATAATACAGGAATAAAAACCTGCACGTGATTTTGCTCCTTGAAGGCAGTTATTCTCTTTGTCTAATAAACACAAGGAAATATTGGGAGCTTTATTCTAATTGCATTGCAGTCAGTGGTCATTAACTCCTGCAGAGTCACAGGCAATTAGCATAGAGAAACTTGCATCCGGTTGACTTCAATTTTCTCTGCTAAAATACATTGATTTTTGTAATATGTGACTAAACTTTTTTTAGCACTTGACATTATTACTTGAGCTTGACTTAAGTAGCTCAATTCCTAACTTTATGGGTGCCTCATGTTGTTACAGGTCAACGTACTTATTGTTTGTCCACCCCCCAACTAAAACTTTTTCAAAACATAATACAGGAATAAAAACCTGCACGTGATTTTGCTCCTTGAAGGCAGTTATTCTCTTTGTATAATAAACACAAGGAAATACTGGGAGCTTTATTCTAATTGCATTGCAATCAGTGGTCATTAACTCCTGTAGAGTCACAGGCAATTAGCGTAGAGAAACTTGCATCCGGTTGACTTCAATTTTCTCTGCTAAAATACATTGATTTTTGTAATAAGTGGCTAAACTTTTTTAGCTCTTGGTTGATCTTGTGTTGTTCTGATGCAGCTCAATCCCCTTTGAAGAAAGGGTGGTAACTGTTCTTCGCTGGCTGCAGCTGCCTGAGGATGAAAGGTAGGTATATCATTACAAGTGTAAATTCCTCTTCAAGTGGTATTATAATGTAAATATGATTTCTGATTTAAACAATACCTTATGCATCATTCTAGCAATATTAAAATCCTATTTAATGCAAGCCTGTTTCTATGACTTACACCTTTTTTAAATTAAATTGCATTTCTCTATTTCCCTTTAAACGTGTCCTTCCTCTGAATGACAGTGTGTTTCCAATATTTGATATCCGTTGTTGAAATATCTTCAAACTGTCTCAACGTCTATGTAAAATATTACATTTTTGGTACTGTTTGATATAGACCACACTTTTACACTCTGTATTTAGAAGAACCAGATTCCTCAGGCCACAAGTTTGGACCAGTAAGCAGTGGAGTAAGTAGCTTTGTATTTCTATTTATTTATTTATTTAATTTAAAGCTTTGCTCTGACGCAATAATAAACTTGAATAATTCATGTCAGATTAACCAAGACCATGTTCAGTAAAAAAAAATTGTGAATAGACAGCCCATCTGTAATTAACATTGATACAAAGCTTGTAATAAACAGCCTATTTAGTAAGTCTAATTTTTATTTTCTATATTTCAATAACTTCTAAATTGCCAAAGCATGTTTGGGTACGTCTTGTATGTTCTTTTATCTGCTCCTACTAATTCTTTATGTTGATTTTAAGGGTAGGAGGAGGGGGGACAGAAAGCTTATATACTTTCAATTTAGCAAGAACAGAGATTTTTATAGCAATGGTCCAATTTTTGGTAGTTAAGTATTCGTGTTATAATTGTCATTCACCTCCCCCAGGCTCTGTGCAAAGGTTAGATGGATATTGCTCTTATCTCCCTGTAGTTAGATTTTTATGCCTTCTGGGAAAGAGGGTGATAAAAGGGACAATCACCCCATCAAGCTGTGGTGTACCTATTGTATAAATTAAGAAGTCTTTGGGACTGCTGCTGTTTTCAGAAGTAACAAATATGTTTACATTTTAATAAATCACAGTGGAAAATGCAAAGGGAAAAAGCTCTTGGAAATTTGGAAATATTGTGAGGTTCTCCTGTCTCGAATGGTCGGGACGTTTGGGCATCTTAACTAGGTATGTCCTGGGTGACATAAGTAGGTGTCAGTGGTGACAACAGTAAAAAGCTCTTATCACTTTCTGTTGAGGTCTGAATTGTTCCTGTAAGGAACTACAAGATGAATATAAGTCCTCAGTGAAGTAGCAGGCAACTAATTGGAATTGCAGTATAGGGAAGGTGTTTAAATTAGTTATCCTTCCCTCTGGGTAATAAGTGGATCTAAAGCTCCCTACGTCAGGAATGCTCTGGAGAGAAAGACCCTGAGGCTTTGTCCAGAGTCTCCCCAGGAATGATGGATTTTAACCAGGTAGAATGTACTTTTCAAAAGGTAAAATATATTTTAGAAAGTAGACTCTTTCACTGGGTAAGGATAAAGAAACAACAGGAGTGTCTAATCTTTGGTCACACAAAGCAAGATAGCTTTTGTGAGTAGTTCAATGAGGTAACAGAATCACTTCATTTAAAAATAGTTTTTTCTTTTGTTTACTTAAAAAGTATTTAAAAGTAGCCCCAGTGGCTATACCTCTTGATTGTCAGAGCCCCCCAGACACTGCTGGACTGGGAGCTCCTTCCTTGGCTTTTTCAGTCCCTTTAAACTAGTTTATTCTGAGACTTTGAACAATCCAGTCACAATTTTAAGGGCAGTTTGTTCTGGAGCCTCTCCCGACGGGGATTTTGAGGAAAAGTTCCACCAGTTTGGCTTCCTCTATTCTCTTCAGCCCTCTGGTATTCTCCCACCAGCATCTGCCCCCTTAGGCTTGTGGCCTGTTGTCCTTGGTTGTGTCCCTGGTGATGTGACAAAATTCATAGAATGGTTTAGGTTGGAAGGGACCTTAAAGATCATCCAGTTCCAACCCCCTGCCCTGGGCAGGGACACCTCCCACCAGACCAGGTTGCTCCAAGCCCCATCCAGCCTGGCCTTGAACCCCTCCAGGGATGGGGCAGCCACAGCTTCTCTGGGCAATCTGTTCCAGTGTCTCACCACCCTCACAGCAATGAATTTCTTCCTAAATACCTTATCTAAAATTCCCTTCTTTCAGTTTAAAACTGTTACCCCTCGTCCTATGGCTCCACTCCCTGATCAAGAGTCCCTCCCCATCTCTCCTGGAGCCCCTTTAGGGACTGGAAGGGGCTGCTATAAGGAAACTTCCTCAATTTCAGGAATTTCACTGAAATTTCACTGACTATAGTCTGGGCGTGGGGTGGTCTATAAGAAGACCTCCTTGACTTTCATTAGCACATACTGTTACATTTTAAATTTATTAGCTTTCCCTTGAAATAAATTCTATTTTTTTTAATTGAAGTGATTAACACTTACTTTACACTCTTATTTTTGTCCTGCAGGTCATTATGGCGTTGCAGAGAGTGGACAACATAGTAGGGATGCTGATGGATGGTCTCAAGCAAATGAACTTGCATAAATGCCTGAACATTATTTTTATATCAGATCATGGTAAATTCGATTTTATAAAATACATCAGAATTTTGAAGAGCTGTTTTTTATAATGTTCTGAGTTTATACTTGCATGTTTCTGCCAATGTTAACAAAGGAGCTGATACCTAGAAATTATGTTTTGCATTATCAAGATAGTGTAAGAGATAATCAGTAGGTGAGAATCAAATTATTTTATGAGGGAGGGGAAGAAGTGGAGAACACGAAGAGGGATTAAATAACTTTCATATTTTATTCCTAATTCCTCTTGTGATCATTGCCAGTCAATAAAAGAAATAGAATAAAAATATGAATTGTAAAAAATAGATATAATTTTATTCTATTAACTGCCAAGTCAAAGTCAAAATTCAAGCCATATCTTCTTTTCAGTTCTCGGTTTCCTTATCCATTTTTAGAAGGCTGTGAATATGAAACTTTGATTTATTTCTGTAATAGGTTTTCTATATTTCTGGAATATTTTTTTTTTGCTTCTTTTCCTGACAAACAAAATATAAGCACTTATCCATGAGCACAAATTTGATCTGGAGAGCTCATTGCCACCGAGAATAAGCCAAGGCAGATATCTATATGGGTTTAAAAAATATTTACAAAATTAATGGAGGGTAAACCTATCAAGAATTATTAAAAGTAAGAGTTCAAATCCTTTTGACTTCTGGAAACTGATAAGGAGCCCTGGGTGGAAGATCGGTCTGTCATTGCTGTGCTTACTGGGTATTTCTCTAGACATGTTACTGAACACTATTAAGTAGGGTATTGAGCTAAATGAATATTTTGTCTTACTGTTCTTAGGCTTATAAGATTTCTTTCCCTTCAGAGAAGAAAATTTGTCTATTTATTGAATGAGAATGTCTTTCTTGGCTAAGGAAATGGCTGGTTCCTTATATTTAATGTTTTGTTTTCTTCCATACATGGGTATTGTGGTCTCCTTGGACTTCCACAACTTGAGTTACGTGTCTCCTCAGCGAGGCTCTACATGGATATTCCCAATTTTGAATAAAATGTCCTTCCTTTTGCAGGGATGGAAGCAGGGAGCTGCAGAAAAACAGCCTATCTGAACAGCTACCTGGATGATGTTCAAGATTTCATAATAGTACCTGGTCCTGCAGCTCGCCTCAGACCTAATAATGTTCCAGATGAGTATTTCTCTTGTATGTAATTGCTAAACTAATTTTTGTTACTTGGTTATACGCATTTGTATTTTATGATTACACACATAGGATCCACATAGTCCATTGATAAACCCGAGCGAAGGTCAACTAGGGACAAACTGGATGAGGGTGAAGAGGAAATACTGAGCAGTGCACTGGTGTTTTTAAGGACCTTTTGACTTTGCAGGTCTGAAAGTGCATTTGAAACCCACAGATTGCTTTTGGGGGTGGCCCCGGAGTCACCAACTGCAAATGCTTTGTGGCTGATGTTCCTTTGAATCAGATCTTTGCTGCTCAAGATGGCCCAAAAATCCCCTCCTCATGTCTCACCTCGTTGCCTGATTTACCAGTTTATGCATAAATTTGCTATATTCCTGTCTTAGAGGAATGTTAGACTGTTACTATCTTTTTGCATATTGAGTATTATATTTCCTAGTTATTAAAAAATGGTCTAATGGCCTGACAGCAGTTGAGTAAACTGCAAATAAACAGAAATAAGATAATAAACCTGACTAAAAATCAATGAAAGCTTACAAATTTTGAAGTTCCATTCATTATGCAGTCTCATTTTAAGTGAACATTTAATGCCTGGAGTTTTGGGTACTTTTTAACGTTGGATGCAGGTGTTTCCTTCATGTTTCTTAGGTGTGGGGTTTTTTTTTCTATCTAGACTGTTGTTCTCCATACCCTTTAAAACTTGTAAGCCTCAACCCCTGTTTATTCCATTACTTGATGCTATTCTAACCAGTTGTAAATGTTTCCTTGGAGAACGTGGGAGTCAAATGCAGCTCCAGGTTCTCCCTGGAGAAACCAGTTCAGGAAGAGGAAAAGCAGAGTATCTCCTGTTTCTGCCACGTGCAGTGTTTCCAGGAAATAGCGTAGCTGTCTCTGTGGCACCGCTTATATATATATATTTTTCAGGAATTATTAATGATTCCCTTGCCAGGGTAATCCTTTCTGTACTTTAGTCCAGCCTTGGATATGGGACTTGGGACAGAGGAGCTGCCCGAAACGTAATGGGCCTGTTTTTGGACAAAATGTCAAACCCAATGATGTAATGGTCCCTTTTGGCCTGAGTCCTCGTGGCTGAACCGCAGCCAGCTCGCACTTGGCTGTCCTTGGAAGGATGCTTGCCAGATAAAGCTGCTGCCCTGACAGTTGCATTCATTTCTTTTTTTTTTTTTTTCCTTAGAAGTTTATTAGCAAGCAGGAAAAATCCAGCTTGATTAGCACAGCGTTGGGTCGCCTCTTTTGTGAAAATTTCCTTCTTGGGTTATTTTTCTAACTGTGGCCAGTATAGTTTAACATTTTAAAGCTGTAAATAAGTAAGCAAGGGGAGGAGAAACTGTGAACTAAAATTTCATCAAAGCAATAGCTTGCCAGTTTAGTGACCTGTTTTGCTCCCTATGGCTTTCAGTCTGGAAAAATAATTTCTTATGGCCAGAATTTTATTGAAACTGAACTAATTATAGTATGTGATGGGAATGCTTTCATTTTACATCTAATTTTTTTTAAACTTAGGTGACTAATTCTTACATATGATTCTTCCAGTTAATTACGAAGGCATTGTCAGAAACCTCACAGTAAGTGTCATTTTATTTGTTGTTCTACCTTAATTTCTACTCTACCAACATTTACAGGCATTTTATAGCATCAGCTGTTTGTTGGGCTACTTGCAGAGCACCTGGACTTTGAATCAGTTACTTTCCACATGCTATCCACTTAATAACAACAATTAAGTTGTAAATTGTTAATTAGTTGTTGCAAGTCCCCTCGAAGGGGAGGGGAGGGGAGGGTCAAAGTTGAGTCAGGTGTCTGTGGTTAAGCATTAACTAAGGTTTTGTTTTAATTTCTTTTCACTAACTCTTATCTACTGCTGTATGATGTTGCTTTTCAAACTGGAAAACTTGTGTATCTGGACCATGCTGGTTGAGAACCAAGCCAGGGTAAAGCTCAGCCCCACCTCCTGGACAAGCATAAGATGTTCTTGCTCACACCTTTTTGATAAACAACTGTGAGCAAGGATATTGGTCTTTTTTTGCCAGTTCCAGCTTAAGGAATTTACTTTTCTGCTCTGTACCTGGCTTGTGTTCTCATCCCTGCACCACAGACTGTTTGCCTGTGGGTTGTGCAGACACTGCTGTTGGTGGGAGTGATGCTGTTTGATAGATGACTTCACTAGTCAAAAAATTCCAATATTATAGTTGAGGGGTTTTCTTGTGTGGTTGTGGTTTTTTTTTTTATTACTTTGTTTTTAAATCATTAATGGATCTTAGTTGGTGGAAAAAATCTATTTGTGACCAATCTAAAAAATCCTATGAATTAACTTTCTGCATTACAGAGCTGTAGAATTATTGCTCTGGGTAGTCTCCTACCACTTGTGAAAGTATCATGATGTTCATGTCTCAATGTAATTCTTAATTAATTCTAAGCAGTATTATTTGGTTCTGTACAAACGTAGGCTATAAGAAAAAAAAAAAAGAGTAAGTTATGTCCATAATCCGATATTTATATTCTTCCAATAATTGAGTGCAAAACCAGTCAGTACTCGTTATTAAAATAGTTATTAATATTTATGTCCCAGATCATATGACTCCAAACCTTGTGGAGTCCCATTGTCCTTAGTGGAAGTTATTGCGGACTCTTTGCAGTAGAAGTGCTTTATAAGAACTGTGCATGACATAAGCAAAAGTTTGGTGAAACGTACATCTTATATTTTATTTTAAACCTTTCAGTGCATAGAACCAAACCAGCCTTTCAAACCATACATGAAGCAGCTGCTCCCCAAGCGTCTCCATTATTCCTATAACGACCGGATCGAACCGTTGCACTTCTATTTAGACTCCCAGTGGCAGCTTGCAAGGTAAGGTACAGTTTTCAGTACTTGGTTATGCAGGAAATAATTTCTTTTTTTTCTCTTCCGGATGCTTAGAGTTCAATGACAGCTGTTGGAGTGTGGTGCTCTTGTTTGTCCTAGCAAAGGGACACAGCAAAGAATCAATACAAGCTTTCCTCTACATTTTTTGCTCATCTGAGGAAACTCAGTTTTAAAATGGCATCTGTAGATGCTCTGCCTGCTGAGTATGTGGGTAGTGGCAGGTTTTGTGACACAAATGCTGGAAACCAAGGTCCCATTTGTCAGATACTTGAGCCCATCTTGCCACGCTTCAGGGATTTCCAAACTGAGCCATGACAACTTAGCATGTTGAATCAGGCTCGTGAGTGATCCACTGGTAGACATTGAACTCATGAGCCCACGGTTGTTAATTACCTTCCATGTTCTGACCAGTGAATTTACAACTCCCAGAATAGTGGCATCTGCACTAATAATTCTGAACACCTCTATGATGCTGCAGGGCTTCCATCACCAAAGAGTTTTTCAGTCCATGTGTCCTGTTGTACAACACCATAATCGTGTGCAAGTTGTGCATATCAGGTTGGGGGTTACTAGAACTGTACACTTCTAAATAATTTGTATGGACCTGGCATATGTTGGATACTTGTTTTCATTAGACTGCAAGATGCCCAGCTCTTCTAAATAATTTGTATGGACCTGCCATATGCTGGATACTTGTTTTCATTTGACTGCAAGATGCCCAGCCAAATGCTCCAAATTACATTGAGTGTTTATTAAAAAATAAACAAACCAAATCTGAAGAATCTACTCATACAGAGTACTGGAATGTTCTGTTACCAAAATGACAGTGAAGTAAAAAAATCTGTTATCTTGAGAACAAACATTTTGTTCATATGTTGTCTGATATTTGACTTGATTTGGACCCTTGAGAATTCCAAAGGGATAACATTTGCAGAGAAAACTACCATTCTGATTTTAAAGGCAAATCCCTTCCAAAGCTTAAAGACTTTCTATTTCCTGTGGACAAGCCTCTGAGAAACTTTAAATAGACAAGTAAACAATGCATCCCCGAATGTATTTTATACTGCTATGATTTGTAAAGAGTGAGTTTATATATATTTTTCACAGGAAACCGCTTGAGATTAAAAGCTGCACAGGTGGATTCCATGGCTCGGACAATCGCTTCCCCAGTATGCAGGTGAGACTTAAACTTGGGCTAGTTTTTAGTTTTAACTCCTTCTATATTTTGAATGTCGTGTTTGCTGGATGTTGATGTGGTTTTTTTTAAGTTCTATGACACTATTCCATCTGCATTTAAAGAAAATGAGTATTTGTAGGATTGTTGGGATTGCTGTAGGTGTGCTGGGTAATCCCTGCAGGTGGGATTCTGTTGTTTTAAGAGTTGGGCAAAAACCCAACAGGACCAGGTGAGACTTAAACTTGGGCTAGTTTTTACTTTTAACTCCTTCTATATTTTGAATGTTGTGTTTGCTAGATGTTGAGGTGTTTTTTTTTTAAGATCTATGACACTATTCCAACTGTAATTAAAGAAAATGAGTATTTGTAGGATTGCTGGGATTGCTGTAGGTGTGGGATTCTGTTGTCATAAGAGTTGGGCAAAAAACCAACAGGATTTACCCCAGAGATTTCACTGTGCTGGTAAGAGTATAAAGTTATGCCAAGTTGTTTTGTTGCAACATTAAAAGCAGGAAAAGAGAAAACTTGGGTCATCAAATCCTCAAATACAATAATTGTAGATCTTGAGAGAATTCAGATCATAAGGCACCTTGGAAGGCCTCTAGATGCACCTCCAACTCATAACGGAGTCAGTTGTGAGATCAGGACAGGTTACACAGGGCTTTATGCAGTTGAAAGATGCCAAGGGCGGAGGCTCCACAAGTTCTAACCAACCCATTCCCCTGCCTGCCTGTCCTCCTGGTGTAAATGTGTTTAATTACAGCCAGACACAGCCTTTCCTCTTTCAATTTATGCCTGTTGTCTCTCTGCCTCCTACTGTGTAGCACTGAATGGCTTGGTCTCCTTGATGACCTCATTGTAGGTACCGTGGAGCCTCTGTCAGGTCCACCTGAAGCAGCCTCTTCTCCATGCTGAGCAAGCCCTGTCCCTCCCTGTCCCCTGAAGCAAGGCCTTCAGCCCCTCAACCGCCTCGGGGACCTTCCACTGAATTTGTGATG